GTATGGAACAATGTCTGTCAACATGTGGAAAAAGTAGAAGAAGAATATATTAGCCGCGAACATTTCATTGACGAAGTCAATGAACTTATAATACGCATAGACGATAATGATAGTGATGAAAGTGATTTCTTTAATTCCTCAGATAATGATGATAATGATGATGACTTGGGTTGTTAACCNGTACAAATCTTTGCGAGGATAATACGATATATTTGCTATACATAATAATTATATTTTACATAGTTTATACACAATACATTTTTGAACGCGTACACATCTCTACCAAAATTTGACCTATTCTTCGGGTTAAATACACACATTGTCCGCTCTCTACTCATTACTATCTCTACTTGTTCATTTTGATGATAGGATGAACGTTGGAAAACAAGTCTAAGATAAAGACTTAACAAAAACAGTGCGGACATGATCACGTAAGTACGTGTTACGGAATTTGATTGTTTATTTATGATTCACTCCCCGCTGATTCATTTAAGAATGTCTTGCCCATTTAAGGTAGACAGCGGTGATACTAATAATTTCTATTGCATTAATTGCGCAGGCGATTTCTTCATGAATTAGCAGTAGTCGCTTATTTCCTTTGTATTTTAATTTTAACGAAATCATTGCATCCTTCGAGAGCTATTAGTGAGTTCCTTATTTGTTTTCTACTTTTATAGCCGCGTCCAGATGATTACCCTAATGAGTTTTACTGGTTTAATGGGTCTAGCCTTCCTTTTTATTCAAGTCAGTAAATCACCGGTTAACAAAGGCTACTGAATTTCTGTAAACAAACGCGGTTTATACAAAGGCTTTTTGGATTTTGCATGCATTAAAAATAAATAAAAGTAAGCAGACGATTATTAATTAGCTGGTGACTGGATGTTTACAGCTTTGGGCAAAGATGACAGAAGTGACAAATGATCGGCACATTCTTTGTCTGTCTTGACATTCTCGGATTAGGAATAGGGTTCAAAACAAAATATGGTTTCAATTTGAAGTAGATACTTCAATAATGTATAAATTTAAATATAAAATATACTGTTATAAACTACTGGAAATAATTTAGGGAACAAAAAATCCATAAAATGTTTTAGTGATTTTGAAAGTTGAAAGGCTCTCAGGGAAAATGGTCGTGCTGAAATAAAAAAAATCATTTTGAAGCTTTTAATTCTCTAGTTCCAAGAAACTTTTTCTCGAGCAATCAAAAGAATTACCTCGAGAAAAAATTATCAAGTTTTCTTTTAGGTCCGCGGAATGCTAAACAATTTTTCGGACTTGACATTAATTTGAAGAAAGTGCAAGAAAATACATTTTGCGGTTTTTTAGAAAATCTATAACTAATTTACAAATATTGGCAAGATCATCGAACCGTTTTTCTGTTCCAAATGATTTATATTTGTTTCTGACATGTGTCGGCCTTTGCATAACATAGTTACACTAACTAAACTTTATTTAATTGCATTAAATGCAAAGTTGATACCCCAAGGTATTCATTCCTCGATTTACATACATTCATAATATTGACTTTCGATATTTTCTGCGAAGTTTACTTAAGTTTCAAAAAACAGTTTTTTCCAAAACTACTTTTTCCAGTTAAAAAAATGTATCAAAAGATTTTGTAAACTTTCTTTTTTTTTGTCAGAAACGACTGTGTTTTTGTTTTGTTTTCTCAAACATCCAGCAACTTTTCCAAAAAAAATATTATTTTGAAATTTGTTTTACTCTTTTTTTTTAAATTTAAACGATATCTAATATAAAATGTGCGAAAAGTGGAGAAATATTGATGATGTAATGTTTAGGAGAAATAAACGTGCTCCTTTAATTTTTCCCAAAATGTTAATCATTTAGAACAGAAAACGGTTTCATGGATCAACTTGTCAATGTACAGGGTTATTATAGGTATATCGAGATAAGTTTTTCTCAACATTAGTCTTTTCATCAAGTCAGCGGCAGACAATAATTTCCATATATCTTTAAGAAATGAAAGGAAACTTTCATTACCAGATTGACGATTGACCACAAAATACGAGATTTTTCTTTGGTAAATATAAGTACCTTTTAAAATAATTCACATATCTATCTAAATAAAACAACTAAAACTATATTTTTTAAAAATTCAATAAACACAGTCTTAAATTTTCAATTAAATTTGCAACTAAATATTATTTTTTTAAGAAATCTAACTGTTAACCTTATTTGTATAGGTATGTCACTAAAATGGATGAATTTGACAACACTTAAGGAATTGCACAGAAAAATATAAAAAAACGTAGTGATGCTAATACGTGCATATCAATGTTTTAAAATATTCTAAAAATTACTACATTTTGCCCTGGATTTTAGAGTAAAAATAGAACATATTAAAAAAATAATATGTTTTAATTTTCTGATGTAGATAAAATGTTGGAAAATATACCACATCAATTGTGAACATCAATAGAATTACAGAGGTGTATACTGCCAGTTGGCACTTCTTAAAACCAGTGTGTTATATTTCGATCAAATCTAAATTTCCGGAAGTCGAAGTGCCGAAAAATGTGGTCGTACATCTTTCTGTCAAGACTTAAAATAATATTAATATAAACTGAATAACTGAAATACTTTAAGAAAAAGAACAACTATAAATTGAATCATAACAGGAAAATCGTATTAATTCAATGTCGGGTGAAATTCATAGCTTATCCAAAAAAATTGGGAATAGATGCGGCATGAGAAATTTGTAAAATCCTTAGTTTCTGAGAAAAAAATTATTAAAGTTGTAGTACATTCAAGCATTACATAGCTGGACATCTGTAGTCTCTAGCGTCATTCGCAATACGCGTGGCCTCAGCGACTCCGAATACAGAAATCCGATTTTACAATCGTCGTTGGATTAGTGTTTACCTGTTATCTGTGGTTTTTACAATAGTTTTTTAGTGTAGTGTCAAAAATATCTTGCGTGTATAGCAACTCGAAGTTGATGAACATCGTTTTAATTTACGGTGAAGCAAGACAACATTTGTGTTCGTTCATAGAAACTGATTGTGAGTAAGACGGAACCAACGTGTTTACACGTCGCCGTCGGAGGTTAAAATTTTGAACAGTTATTGTAACATTAGGTATGCCAAATTATTTTATTATTTAAAACCACAAATTAANGACCAGTTTCCAGTGCCATGCAGAAGTGTATTTTTAAATCATTTTTGAACTGCCCCTTTTGATTTTTTCTTTACAAAATTGTATTTGTAAGAGTCCCTTGTACATCCAAATATTTTTTTTTGGATAAGTTCTGATTCACCTTGTATAGATAGTATGTAATTATATTTAGAGAGAATTGAGGGTGTAAACACAGATAATCTTTGTTACTGGATATAAAACTAACAAAAATAAAATATTTTTTTAATCAAATATTATCCGCTCTGAAATTTATAATGATATAGTTGACTTGGATTTATATACCATCATCTACAAACGTTAAGTTTACATAAAATGTCAAACATTCAAGATATTCATTAACTCCAGTAAAAAAATAAGGATGTACGTTGAATGTAGTTTAATGAAAGCTATTTTTGAGAAGTGGTAGTAGGTTTCACACGGTCTGTACTATTTCCTACACAATACAGCCTCTAAAATATGATCCCGTCATTAAATTACGTAAAGGAAAGGAAGCTTTCAAAGTGCTCCAGTACCAATTAGTAAATATTGTACAGTCGCTTCAATAACGAGCTTTGTAGACCAGCTGTTGTGTACGTTCTAAATTTATTTGTTGTGTCGTTGACATTAGGATGTAGGTACGGTCGCGACTGAAAACATAAATTTGCTGAAGTTCAAACCGAAAATAAATATTTTGTTCCCGATTTTATGTAAGGGCTAAAAATAGAGAGTATACGAACCTTGCTTCCTCATAGGCTGTTAATATTTTCGGTTGATTCTTCAAAGAGTAGGCGAAAGACGACAACAATTTTGCATTTTTTCATTTAATATCCAACATAAATAAATGAAAAATAATTAAATAACTCAAAAACTTGTATTATTAAAAGTATTGTTTGTTACTGATATTTCAGTTGCATTACTTTTCTTAATAGCTTTTTCTATGCCTATACCTATTACTTGTACAATGGAGAAGATAAACATTTTTAAAGCTCATTTTAATTATTCTTAAAAGTAAAGTAAAAATACAGTTGCTCTAATAATAAAAAATGTACGATTTAAAAATAATACCTAATACTAGATGTCTATTTCTGATTTCCAATTCCAATTTTCTGCACTTTATCTGTATTTATTTTCATTTCGTGTTGACAAATATTTAATTACCTACTATGTTTGGTTTGCCTAATTCCTTTATATTTATGGTTCATAACACACATAGGTACCTGTATTTACAATAATATAAATAGAAGTATTTTAAATTTGTAATGTTTTACGTTGCATGCAAATATTATTACATGGAATGTAAATATTATTATTTTTATGTAAGGACATTGCCTCTATTTTATTTAATTAATCTCTTCTCAAATCCATATCATTTATTCATATGAACTGATTAATTATAATTTATAGAAGATGATTTGTTCTACATTCTAAAAGGCAATTTTAATGTTACATTATAGTCAACTTTTGATTTATGACTAATTTCACTCTAAACTCTAAACGGTAAGTAAGCGACCTGTATTACCGATATTGGTGAATGGCAATGAACAATTAAATAAATCATACATAGCTTGCCAAGTGTAACACTAAATGTCTCTAAAACCCTAAATAAAAACTGAAATATTATCTTGAAATGTACTGCAGAAATGATTTTATATTTTGGAATTTCAATGACACATACCTTTTTCGGTATGCCTACATCTGTGGAGTATAATTGCAGAAAGTATAACGGTTTTATTTATTAAATTCAATTAAAATGAGGTGAGATACTTGTCGAGAGTATTGCAATAAATAACCGCTATCCTTATATGGATGTAAGATAAGTGCTACAATGAATTATTATTATTAATAACCAACAACGGAGATCTTACCTTTTTTAGATGTTTGTTGACCCATTTCGTGAACGTTTTCTTCTGTACGGCATCTCTTTCATCTGTAACGAGATAAATGCAATTACAAAAACATCATGTACAATGTAACAAATCATATCTACAGGTTAAAAAACATATAATTTTCATTTATCGTTAATTTTATTATTTGGAACCATTAATTGTATTTGGAAAAAGTAATTGCCGTTTATTTTGAATGTATTCTGTAACTTGTCTAAATTTTTTATGACGATTATACTTATTTATACTAAAAATATTTAATTGACCTAAAGAAAAAATGTGAATAAACTTTGACTACTACTTAAATATCTAAACAAAATTAAAAGTGGCTAAAAATATTCATATCTTCCAATATATCATAAAATTTAAAGAAATATATAATAATCATCTGATTATTTCATATCTATCAAATTTAATAGCATAAGCAGGAATGATGAACAATTTTTAATCTGAAACAAAGTACACATAGTATGCCGTACTGAAAAAAGAACCATTTAAATCTGGACTAAGCAATAGTACCTAATAAACATTTTCTACTAAATTTCCTGTTATAGAACATAGAATATAGAACATATTTTTCTTAAGGCACATTCACAGTCGTTACCTACACATTTGATTATTATTAGCGCAGATGAATCATCTAAAGTGAATTCATTTTATATTCATACGTTGCAATAAAAGAATACCCATTTATAACCATATACCAAAAATACCCAAAGGGCTGTTTGCTTTTAAAACAATACTAAATTGTTGGCTTGATCTTCTTTCCACTTAAAAATCATAATCTAATAATTAACAACTCCTTTAGAAAGAGAACAAACAAAGGCAAAAACTTTAATTATAGGAATCTCAAATTTCGCATTTAATGGAAACATCAAGAATCACTGAATGTGATGTTTAACTGGTTCCCTTTCTGTTTCATTCATTAAGATTCATCCCGGATGAACAGAACGTAGAACAGGTCCCACTTAACGTTCATTCCAGATCATAAATTTTGATGATTTACTGATTACCTACATGTTTACTTTTCATTTACTAGTATAGATCTGTTTTTAGAGAAAGAAATATGAATTCACAACATCTTTTACGTGGCTAGATAAACGCTGCTAGTAATTTACATATGACCTAACAGTTTTGTAATTTTCATTATATTTTGGGTTAAAAGTAATGAAACCTTTTCTAATTTTTATTGAAAGACTACTTGAAAGCAGAAATATTGGTTTTAAAAAAATAAAACTTTTCTTGATCTTGCAGGTTAAATGAAGCAATAAGTTTCCAAGTGAAGATTTGAAACACCAAATAAAAAAATATAAGAGGAAAAAGAATTTTATTACGTGGATAAAACATACAATGTGGAATAGGAATCTTGGAAATAAAGAATTTACTGCTGAAGTACGCTTGGAACATATCTGTGAATTCGTATTTTTGGTAACTGGTTCACTGTTAACAGTTTTGGCTGTCCAGTGCCAAGCGCCGGAAAGAAGGTACTACTTCAGATTATTTATTTCTAAGTAAATTTGGAGGTTATTTATATTGCAATTAATAATTACTTTGCTTAGTAGTTATATAGACCACAACTGCTTCCTACAAGTATATTTAAATTGTAAAGATTTTTCAACTAAAGATAAAGATGTAAGTAATACTTAATATTCTCGAAAAGAGTTACTCTTCTAAAGTGCCTGTTTCTTCTATATTCCTATTTAACACGGTGGACAACTCAGATTTGTTCGAGAACTTTAAAATTCCATTTACATAGAATTTAAAAAGAATTTACTATTTTGTGCGGTATACATTTTTTTAAGCTCAATAGATTAATTTCAAATGAATAATATTTTCGATATCTTAAAAAAACGAATCAAGCCAATTTTTTTAATCTTATTGGTGGTAGAAAGTCCAATTCAATTTTTGGTTTCTTGGAAAAAGGTACATATCGACCGATGCTCCCTGAAAGTTTGCGATCACCTAATAGCCTATTCGCAAAAGTTTATGACAAGATGCAGCTCTTGTAATATCAACTTTATCTGTGTTTACGTCGAGCTCTTCAAGATTCCTGTTGGCTGTCGGCTACTATAGCTCGTCAATAATTTTGGCCAGTGATCTGTTTTATCAGTGAACAAATATACTGTCGTATGAATTAAATCTATAACGAGATAAAATTCACGTAAACACTTCAGCTGTCTACACCAAAGTGAGGTTTACCAAACACATCTTTTGAGTGACAGTCGACGGAAATTTTGACGAGGAATGTGGACATCACGTTGAAGAGAGCATCGGTAGATATGCAGTTTATCAATGTAATTACCAACGACACATTTGTGAAGTCTGAATGAAATGATTACGATCAGTGCTTGTAATTACGTACATACGATCTGCGCGCGATATGTTTGCCGATGGACTTTCTGATCAATCACTCAAAAACCACTGAAGACATGGGCTTCAATCTGGATGTATTGTAAAAAACTAACCAACTAACAATTGGCGTCGATATTAAAGAGGGTCTCAATTGTCTGAAAAAAAGTTATTTGATGCTGAGGAGAATATTAGAGATTCCAATAGAGTATTTCAAATGAAGTATCAGCTATTCTTCAAGTGTGTTCGTAGAAGATACGTTAACGAGGAAAAGTGCAAAAACTATGACAATGTTAGAGTTTCCCAACAACGACCCAATTATTTTACTTCAGTTGTTGAATAATTAGAGATGCAATATTATGGAAAAGTTAAATTTATCCTTCATTTGAATACGAGCGAATTAGTATAAATTATAAGAATTTTCGCATTTGTTTAATTCCTAATAACATGATTTTTTAATTTTTAACAAAGAACGATGCATTTTAGCGAAAGTCGTTCAAAAGGCACACATATTTTAATTAGAAAGGGTCTACCCAATCTAGAATGGATCATTTGCTGTTCTAAAAACTTTTTTGGTAGTTGGAACGCCTCAGATCTCTCTTATTCCATCGCAATGGTTAATTTTTGTCGAAATGTAGGTAACTACTATAAGGAAACAGCACTATAGCAAATCTGAAATCTACAATCTTTAATGATTCTTGGGTAACTAATGAAAAACTTTGTTTTAGGTCCAGCTTTTGAAATTAGGAAATGTTTTAGGGGAAATGTTCATCTTATTCTTTTGTGTTGATGAAAGGAAACAGCCCCTTTTACAGATTCCGACAGAGCAGTTAGCGGTTCCTCAAGTTTATTCGTAGAAGACACGTTTACGAAGAAAAGTCCAAAAACTACGACAGTTGTTGAATAATTAGATATGCAATATTATGGAAAAGTTTTAAATAAGAGCGAATTAGTGTAAATTATACAAATTTTCACCTTTGTTTCACTCCTAATGACGTGATTTTTGAAATTTTAACAAAGAAAGATGCATTTTAACGAAAGTCGTTCAAGAGTCAAACGTAACGAGCGTTCAAATAAAAACGTGGTCAAAGTTGGCTCTGACACATTGGACGTAGGGAGCAGCTTATAGCGACCAACTTAACCTCATTTCTCAACGAGCTGTATAGCAGCTGTCAGTTTCAATAACGTTAATGACTATATAACTTTATTTTAAAGAATAATCGTGATAACAATAACAAACAATTAAAGGAGCTGCGGAAAGTGTCCCCCTCCTTGTTATAACAATAAATTAAAGCAGCTGCTGAAAGTGTCCCCCTCCTTGTTCCAAGCACTTTTCACACCTGTTCCTCAAAGAATTAAAGACATTTTCTAAGATGCTCGGGGTATTGTTAATTTCACGAATCTTGTCTATAAGTCGAGCCTGCAGATGGTTTAAATCAGGAATAGGCAGTTCAAAAATAGTGTTTTTAAGGTAAGGCCACAAAAAGAAATCACACGGCGTAATATCACATGACCTCGGTGGAAATTC